TGGGAGCAGCTCCCAGAGGTGCCAGCCCTGCTGCCGATGGCTCTGGCCACCCGTTCCAGGAAAAGTAGGGTAAGCACCGGCTGGCTGCCTTTCAGGGGTGAGTCGTTCCTCCTTCTTTAATTCGATAGGAACGCGGGGGTGCAGGAAAGGCTGCAGGAAGTCTGATGGTCTGGACAGACCTCACAAAGCCCCCGAGGCTTCGAGGGCTGGGTCCTTTGAAGCCAGGCTGCCCCGAGTTAGGGGTTCTGGACTCAGACCAGGCTTGCCTGGGAGGCTGAGCCTTTGTCCCTGCTCGGGCCGCTCTCGGCATGTAAAAGTCTGTCAACGGTGCTGCCGGGGTCATTCAGACTACGCAGGGAGAAAGCCTCTCACCAACGGTACACTCTTCCTGTCTCGTGGGATTTCCGTGGCACACCCGTACACAGGCACGCACGGGCATGCACACTTGCACCCGAGCACGCAGCCCATGCCTGCGTGTGCACACATATGCCTCCGTGTTTGGGGGGTCTTCTAGGAGTTCATGGAAAATGAGCATTGTGAAAACACTGTCCACAGATTTCAGACATTTTTTGCACCAAAATAAACATGTATTATAATTTTGTTTTTGCACCAGCTTTTTGCATGAGCATGTACACATGCAGGCACACAAGCCCACACCCCCATGTCCACATGCACCCGCACACGCGCACAAATGCGTTTGCCCTCCACTGGCAGGAGTGCAAGTCACAGCGGGCCTCATGTTCCTGCTGCCGCCTCGGGAGCGGCTTCCAGCTCTAGGGAGCCCCGCAGCTGGCCTCACTGCTTCTCAGCGCAGTGTCTTACCTTAGTGCAGCGGGCTCACTCTGCTGTGAGAAGGAACCGCCCCTCTTCTCGCCCCTACCCTCTGCTGCCCCGTCCGTGTGTTATGGACGTTGGTGTGCTGGTGTCCGCAGGAGGTCTCGGTGCCAACCTTCTGTCCTGAGCTCTCGAAGGTCTCCAGCCCAAGGGAAGGAAGTTGTGAGAAACCCCTAAGCCGAAGTGTGCTGAGCTGCAAGGATGCACGTGTGTGCTTGTGCGTGTGCGCGTGTGGGTGTGTAGTGCTATGGGTAGAGCATGGGTGTGCATATGTAGTGCATGCACGTGTGCGTGTGTGTGTACACACTCCCTCTGCACCCTTCGTGTCTGGGCAGCCTTAGCTTTGCACTCTGTTTCTCCCACCTCCTAGTTCAGTTCCCAAGTCAGGGCTCAAAAACCTCCGCTGCCGCCCGAGCCGGGATCTAACTCCGCACTTCGCAAGCCCATCACAGACTCATCCATGCCAGCGCTTTGCAGCCCCTCGGGAGTGTCGTGTTGTCCCGTTTAACATGCAAGCCAGCAGGGGCTCAAGGGGTGAGCGGCCCACCTGTGAGCACAGAAGCAGAGCCGAGGGCTCCGAGCTCAGCCAGTTACAGCACAGCCTGTTCCCGCAGCGGATGAGGACCGCAGGCAGCCCTGGCCTTCATAGAGGCTATGTGTGAGGGGCAAGGAAGGGGGACCCTGGGGAACTCCTCTCCTGCATGCTCCGGCCATCTTCTGTCATCCCCCCTGTCAAGAACAGGCCCAGATGGAGCAGACGGCCTGGGGCCCTCCTACCCTGTCCAGAGTGTGGCACTCTACCGGGAGGAGAATCTGGGTCAACGCTCACTGAGGAAGGGGCTCGCTCTTAGAAAGTGCTACAGTGTTGTCATATCAGGCAATGTGGCTCTCTTAGAAATTGCTACAGTGCTTAGAAATTGCTACAGTGTCTCCTATGAGGAGCATGGCTCTCAGAAGTTGCTACAATATCTCCTTTGAGGAGCATGGCTCTCAGAAGTTGCTATAGGGTTGTCCTATGGGGGGAGCAGGCTCTCAGAAGTTGCTATAGGGTTGTCCTATGGGGGGAGCAGGCTCTCAGAAGTTGCTATAGGGTTGTCCTATGGGGAGCAGGCTCTCAGAAGTTGCTATAGGGTTGTCCTATGGGGAGCATGGCTCTCAGAAGTTGCTATAGGGTTGTCCTATGGGGGGAGCGGGCTCTCAAAAGGTGCTATAGGGTTC